AGGCCTGGGGCTAAAGATTGTAACCCGGACAAATGGATGAATGTTGTGTTTTAATTATGTATTGTCTTATATGTAAAAAGTCTGTTTTCCCCCCTTTCCTTTTTGGATTGTGAGCCGCCCTGAGTCCCCCCAGGGAAAAGGGCGGCATATAAATAAACCTTCTAAATCTAAAATCTAAATCTCCATGGGCCTTTTTTAAACAGGCAGAAACGGGGTTTTATTCTACAGGTACCAAGTTTCCCCAATAATATGATTTCTCGATCCTTCCCCAGATATTTCTTTTTCTTTTCTTTTTTTGCTACAATACTTAAGACATGCAAGATTTTTTTCTACAGAAAAGCCCAGGAAAAGTCCTCTCAACTGAATCGCCTGCAGCGTCCCAGGCTCAGCCCAGGGAAAACAAAGGGAATTGGCTGAGACTCAGCTCTGAAGGCTTTTTAACCCAAGTAGCAGCTTTTAAAAAAACAAACAACGGAGGAATATTTCCCCTTTGTTTCCATCTGGAGGCAAAGGATCCAGGAAGCCAACCAGCCTCCCCATGGTCTGGACCAGGGCTCTCCAACCTTGGCAACTTTAAACCTGGAGGACCTCAACTCCCAGAATTCCCAGGCTTCCAGTTGCTGCGGCCGGAGACCCCTGGTCTAGGGGGATGGCGGGCCCCTCAGGACAGGAGGGCAGGCGCTGAATTATCCCGTTGGACGGAGGGTGCGGGCGGGTCAGTTCATCACTCACCTGGGGACTTCATGTAATATTGCTCGATGTCGGACATGTCTGTGTCCAGGGCGCACTCCAGGTAGCGGAGGATGACCTTCCGGCTGAAGTAGTACCTCGTGCCCATCAGGAAGACGGGCAGGAAGCAGGTGGCCAGCCAGGACTTGGTCACCACAAAGCAGATGACTAAGGAGAGAAGGAAGAGAGAGAAGCGACACCCGTCAGGAGAGAGGAGGCAGGGCGGACGCTGGACCACAGACCCCCCAAAGCCCCACCCACCACGTGACCCCCCACCTGTTGGGCGACACAACACACACTCCCTTGGCTGACACACAAGACCCCGTCTTCAGCTGATCAAGGCCTTTGCTCTAATAAATAGGAACACTGCTATACAGTCAGTCATCCACTTGCGATGATTCATTTAAGGACCATTCGACGGCACTGAAGAAAGGGACCGAGGGCCGTTTTTCACACTTACAACCGTTGCATTACCCCCCTCGGTCATGTGATCAAAATCCAGACCCTTGGCAACAGATTCATATTTATGACGGTCACAGTGCCCCGGGGGTCATGTGACCCCCCGCTTTGTGCCCTTCTGATAAGCAGTCAAGCCAGATTCACTTAATGACCATCTTACTAACTTAACAACTGCAGGGATTCACTTAACAACTGTGGCAAGAAAGGTTGTAAAATGGAGCAAGACTCACTTAGCGACTGTCTCACTTACCAACATAAATGTGGGGCTTGATTGTGTTTTTAACTCGAGGACCGACTATATCTGAGCACTCTGTTTTACAAAAACCCCAAATGTTTCCATTTTTTGCAGACAGAAGTGAAAAAGGGGATATTCTTGATTTCACCTGCATTCTCGGCCCCGTTAAAGGCTAAGAGTTGCACTAAAAGGCTTGTTTCTGCACATGGGCAGATGCTGAAGCGCCTGGGCATTGATGAGAACACGGCCCACAAGGGCAGCGGAGGAAACGGACCTTTCTATGTCACAAAAGGGAGCTTAACGTCCTCCAAAATAGAACCGGGACAAAATTCAGATTGACGTCCAACATCCTGTTTATTGGTGTCTTAAGGCTTCGCTGGTCTGCATGACTTTATTAGGGGCATCAAACCCTTTAACACACAAGCCTCATTTATCTACAAAGCAGCATCTCAGCTTCTTTGATGACATAATGCAGCTGGGAAGGTACTTAAAACGGAGAATTTTCTTCTATTTTTCATTTATCTTTCCAGCGCTGAAAAGGGGAAAAAAAAATAGGCATTCAAGCACTACTACAGTGCGCGCAACAAATCGATTCATCACCAACAGGATTTTACTAAGCGTAATTATCTGAGGTGCCCCAGGATTTCTGAATCGCTTGTTACAGATGAGCTCCAACGATGTGGAGTCCAGGTAAGGATCCGTGGTCTCATCGTTTCCCACCTGGGCTGTTGCCCCCCCCCCTTGCAGGAAATTTCTCCCAACTTCCCCTTGGACCCACCAGCTCTCCTCCTGCCCTCCCCCCCCCCGACCTCCGTGGGACAAAATTACTTCTGAGATCCCTAACATGCATTCTAACTTTTTGTCTTCCAGAGGTAGTCCTCGAGATACGACCCACAATTGAGCCCAACATTTCTGTTGTTAAATGGGACACTTGTTAAGTGAGTTTTGCCCCATTTTACCCCCATTTCTTGCCACAGTTGTTAAGTGGATCCATTGACTTTACTTGTCAGAAAGTTGCAAAAGGTGCTCACACGAATCTGGGACACCAAGACCGTCGTAAGTATGAACCAGTTGCCCAATGGTTGAATTTCGGTCACATGACCACAGAGAGGCTACAACAGTTGTAAGTGTGAAAAACAATCCTGTCACCTTTTTCAGTGCTGTTCTAACTTTGAATGGTCCCGAAACAGTTGCAAGTTGAAGGCTACCTTTACAGCATTTCTCCAGTTTCCTTCCATTCTATAATAATTATTTCAACTTTAATTCTTAAAGGGTTTTTTTCCCCATGAGTTAATGCCTTTCTTTGAATATGAAGGCAGAATTTTTCCATGTTATACAGGTCAGAATATGCTTAGCTAATGTGCATTAAAATACAACTCCTACTTCTTGTAACTAAGAAATTGCTTCATAAATTACAGGAGCTTTTTAAATACAAAATCTAGCCAACTTCCAGGATCCTCTGTGTGTGTATGTGTGTGTGTGTGTGTGTGTGTGTGNCTTTCTGCCTGCCCTGCCAATGCCTTTTGCTCTCCGGCCAAAAGAAAGGAGAAAAGGGCCCTTTGCTTTGAAAGGCGTCCTGTGTTTCTTCTGCCCACCCCCCCAGGGCTCCTCCTGCAAGTCCTCCCGCAAAGCCCCCAAAGCCCCCCACTCTATTCACCCCACCCCCACCCAATGGCCGAGCCTGGGAACTCTCTGAAAGGACACACCGGCAGTCCTCGATTTATGGCCACAGTTGAGCCCAAAAGGTCTGTTGCTCAGCAAAGCTATTGTTAAGTGATTCCGCCCCACTTCACAGCCTTTCTTGCCCTGGTTGTTAAGTGAATCCCTGCCGTGTGAAATGAATCTGTTTGTCAGAAGGTGAGGAAAGGGCAGCCTGCAACCGTCACGAGTCCCTGTCAGTTGCCAAGCAGACTCTGGGTTGGGATCAGGTGACCCCGAGGAGGCTGCAGCCGTCGTGCGTGGGAAACGTCTCCCCTTTTTTCAGTGCTGCTGTAGCTTCGTACGGTCACTAAGTGAACAGTCGTAATACTGGAAGTTCTGATGACAAGAACTTTACTGAAATAAGGTGCCGTTTATAGAAACCCCTGAATTTGCCCCAAATACCTGGGATACGTTTCAAAAACATTTTCTCCCTTTCCCAAGCCCCAGTTGGCCTTGATTAAAGGCTGATTGTTATTGCTAGCGAATGCAAGGTTTCGAAACCACACAGGCATCACCATCTTATTTCTGTCCACCTTCCCAACCTTCCCACAGGCCTCCCGCTTTCAAACACAGCCCTCAGGTGGATCCATGGGAGCTTCCCATAGCTGGAGTGTGGAAGCGTCTTTTTTTTCTGAATCAGCAAAACGAACGGCACAAGCGCATTAATGGAAAAGAGAACGGAAGAGGGTCCTTAAAAGCCCACAACACGAACACCTGATCGGTTAAGCAACAAGTAAGAAATATTCAGAGATCCGGAGCCCTTAAAACAGTGTAAGATCTACCGATTCCTCTCAACCCTCGTGGCTGATCTAGGGGACCCACAAACACACTTTAAATACGGAGTGTCCAGCCCAAGGATCTCAATATAAACCAGTGTTTCTCAACCTTGGCAACTTGAAGATGTCCGGACTTCAACTCCCAGAATTCCCCAGCCAGCGAATGCTGGCTGGGGAATTCTG